GCAGGGTGAATTTTGTCTGTGTGTTAGAAGACACTACATCCCCAAATTGCAAGGAAAATAGAACTTATAGAGTGAAAAAAGTACTAAAATGAAGCATATATCTATAACATGTAGAAGTGAAAAAAATGTAAGTTAAAAAGCGACTATGAAATATAAGTTGGTATAATAAGCATCTAGTTGAAATGGGAAGATGGTAAAAAGAAAAAAAGGAGAAAAAGCATAAGAAAAAGAAGAAAGAAAAGGAGAATTTTATCCGAAAAATAAATGAGTCATGAAGCAGCACCTGGAGCTCAATATACTATTTTCCCCTGGCATTGGAATTTTACAGACTTGTGGGTTCCATAGGCTCGTCGTCCACTTGTTTTTCCAGTTTGTCTTCTGGGAGAGGGGCCTGCCATGCTGTTTCTCAGGTATCCCTGCCTGGGCAGAGTTGTCCCAGCCCCTGTCAGGGGGACGGGCTCAGTGCAAACTGGTCCTCTGTGTGGCTTTTGTTATCTGGAGGTTTTCCAAGCCTCTTCAAAAGGATCAGAGCAAAAATGGCTGTGCCCAGACCTCTGGCCCAGAGCAGGAAGATCACAGTCTGCCCTCTTTAATAAACTCTCCAGGACAAATGGTCTCCACTTCTGTATGCACCAAAAACCACAGTCTCCACTTCTGTATGCACCAAAAACCAAGAACCCTTTTGACTCTAAAACCACAAGTGGCCGTGGGCTCATGCACACACCTAAAGCTCCTGGGTCATGTCTGGGTGCCATCCTAATGTCCTTTCCAGGCCACTATCGCCCTGCAAGCTTTTGCCTAGTCGCAGGCACAGCTGTTTCACCTCTCCTAGGGGATGGTAAACGGTCCCCAGTTTACCAGTCCTTTTCAGGCTGCCCAGGAAAAGAGCGATTTACTGACTGGCCCAGCTCGCGGTTTATGGTGACCTGAGTTGAGAGTCTCCTCATGTGCTCGCTGACCATAAGCTGCTTCCCGGCTTCACTGCTTGGGTACTCTCTGGTTCAGGCACTGAGTTCACTCTGTGACTCCTCAGATCCAGAGACCATAATTCCCCACCTAGAATTCTGTCTTTTCATTTCCAGAGCCCCTTTCAGAGAGGGATGTCTCTCACTAGAGCAGATTTCTAAGGGTTCCGATTTTGCACTCCAGTGTTATATCACTTTCCAGGAGCCAGCTTATGGAGGCTCCCTCCCCTTTCTGTTTATCTTTCTGATACCTCCCCACAGATTCATGACTCCATATGTCCTACCTTGCAAAAAGCAGTCACTTTTCTGCTTGTAAAGTTCCAGATATATACTCTTATATCTTAGGCTGATTTCATGGGTGTTCAAAATGGTTTGATAGATATCCAGCTAAATTCAGGGGACCAGTTGAAACGGGGTCCCCTACTCCTCCGCCATCTTGCCTCCCTCTCTACTTCCCTCTTTTGTGTGTTCTGATTTATAGTGCCTCTTTTCTTTTCTGTTTGGTAATCTTTTTACACTGTGAGATACTTTTCTAGATACAGAATGAAAGTGGGTTCTTTAAGCATTAATTCACATGTGTTTCTGTCAACCACCTGGGAGCACTACAAACCTAGACTATTTTACATTCTCAGCACCCAAACCCCCCAAACCCACATTCATACTGCAAATTCATGATGCAAACCCATATGATATCTGTGACTGCAGGTTCCTTTTGCCCTTTCATTCATTACCACTTCTCCTTATGTATTCTTTTCCTTCTCTTATCTATACTTTCTACCAAACAGGTATTGCTTAGCCTACTACAGGGTACTTCACATTAGAAATATTGCCAAATTCTGGCTCAGGCCCACAGGGCTACTGTGACTTAGAAGGTCTCCTCTGAAACTTTGTTGCTTAGTGGCATTGAACACCTTTCTCCACAACTCAGTGGTTAGCATAGGACTTTCAGTTTTGGACTACTACAGCAATATTAAAGTTCTATGGATTAAAAAAAAGTCATTCTACAATTCCCAGGAGAATATTAGATTTCCTAATAAATCCTTTGCTTATTATGTAAGATATGTATTGTAGCTCTCCATCTTACAGGCATATGGTAGCAAATTGCATTTCCTAACACCCCTTGCAACTGAGTAAGACTATGCAACTCATTCTGGTCAGATAGATCAATACAAGTATGACAGCCTTCAAAGCTTCTTTCCCCTCTAGCACAGGCAACATCATTCAAGATAGTGGCTGTTCCATTAGCTTGAGACTTGAAGTAACTATGAGTAGCAAAGCTCTGACTGCCAAATTATAATATTTATATACTATGAATGGGAATGGGTCTTATATTATTAAGCCACTAAATTGTGAGGGTTGATAATTACAGTAGCCAAACCTAGTCTATCCTGACTGATGTTACAAAAACTATTTATTATCCAACCAGTAACAGATAAAATATTATCTTTCTAATTTGACACTAGAGTGAATAATGAGGGAATTAGTCAGTTGGTCTTTTCCTTAGCATATTAGACAAAATATTTAGAGGGATAGAAAAAATATATAAATCATTATTCAGCTTTTTTCCCAAACATTATTTAAAGTCAGAGTAAACCTAATTCCAAACATGAGTGTTCTAGTTATTTACTAGTGCACAATAAATCGAACCAACTCAGTGGATTAAAACAATTTCTTTCTCATGGTTCTGTGGGTTGACAGCTGGGCATTTTTTGGTTGGGGTCTTTGCTTGCAGTCAACTGACAGGTAGGTCTGCAATCTACTAAAGGTTCAACTGAGTTGATTGTCTGAGATAGCTCATTCAAACTGCTGGTGGTTGACATTGGCTGTTGTCTGGGAGCTCAGCTGAGTCTGGTTCTTCGTGGTGTTTAGGCTTCTCACAACATGGTGACTGATTCTCAAAGAGCATCACAAATATGAGTGGCAGGAGGTGGAAGCTACCAGACCATTTAAAGACTGGAACAGCATCATTTCCACAATATTCTTGATCAAAGCAGACCTAATATCTGCCCAGATTCAAGGATTCAGACATAAACTACCTCTTGATATAAGAGTGGCAAGGTCACAAGGCAGAGGAGTATGTGGGAATGAGAGATACTGTAGCTATCTTTGGGAAATACAATCTGATACAATGGGTTTCTATTTAATTTTTTTATCTGAAGTAGTCAAATGCTAAAATTATGAAAGATAAAACATGAGATTACTTAAATGATATATTTTGGAATAAAATATATAATTACCACATATTTTAAAAGCACAATCTCTCTCCAATTTAATTACTCTATGGCAAAAGTAATTCAGAAATAAGGACTTTATGAAATACAATTTTACATATATATTCCTTTTCCTAGACTATAAACTTCTCAAGCCCTCTTTTATTATTACCCTCAGCTCCATTTTCATAAGTATCTATGAGAGCATACAGGGTGCATTTAATAAATAGTGATGAAAGTTATACCAGGTAACTCCTAAACTTAATAAATTCTATATTCACTTATTTTCACAAAATTTCAGAAAAAGTTGAAGACCAAAACTAGTAAGTGAAAGTAATCTCCTGTATATTGCATTGCTTCATATGAAAAAATTTTCCACTTGTCTTTCTTATGAGTTACAAGGAGACCCAAATTAACTGCCTCCTTATTTGCCTCTCTCCAAGTTGATTTAAATCTCATTGAAGTTAGCAAACATGTCTATCTTATCTTGTTCACTACTGTATTCTTTATGTTTAGCACAATGCCTAGCACATAGTAGGCACTAAATAAAGAACTGACCTTATATATTAACCATAGGTCTTAAATTTATATTTACAGTGTTATATAAGTTGTTTCCTTTCTTTCACATTCAAAATTAACTTTAAATACACTTAGCCCTGGGATGCCTTGGTGGCGCAGTCAGTTAAGAATCTGACTCTTGACTTTGGTTCAGGTTATGATCTCAGGGTTGTGAGATCGAACCCAGCATCAGGCTCCGTGCTGAGTGCAGAGCCTGCTTAGGATTCTCTCCCCGCTCCCCTTATCCCTCCCCCCCATTGCACTCTCTTTCTCAAAAAAATAATAAAATAGATAGGTAGATAGGTAGGTATGTAGGTAGATAGATAGATAGATGATAGACAGACCCAGCCCTAATATTTAGGTATTTTGGCATGATCACTTCAGTAAATGTGGCTCTACCTAACTAGTTTACAGGAGTCAATGTTTGATGACAGTAACAAAGAACAAATAGAGATTATTTAAGACCATTTCAAAAATGACTTATTGGGGAGCCTGGGTGGCTCAGTCATTAAGTGTCTGCCTTCGGCTCAGGTCATGATCCCAGGGTCCTGGGATTGAGCCCCGCGTCAGGTCCCCTGCTCAGTGGGAAGCCTGCTTCTCTCTCTCCCACTCCCCCTGCTTGTGTTCCCTCTCTCGCTGTGTCTCCCTCTGTCAAATAAATAAATAAAATCTTTTTTAAAAATTAATTAGTAATTTAGTAACAATAGATGTATTAGAGAGGTAACTTTATTTTTTTTTCTTTTTTTAAATTCTTTATTTAAATTCAATTTAGTTAACACACATGATATCATTAGTTTCAGGGGTAGAATTTAATGATTCCTAAGTTGCATATAACACCCACGGCTCATTACATCAAGTGCCCTCCTTAATGCCCATCACCCAATTACCCCTTACTCCCACCAACCTCCTCTCCAACGACCCTGAGTTTGTTTCCTAGAATGAAGTGTCTCCTATGATTTGCTGCCTTCTCTATTTTCATCTTAATTTCTTTTTTCTTCCCTTCCCCTATGTTCATCTGTTTTGTTTCTTAAATTCAATATATGAGTGAAATCATATGGTGTTTGTCTTTCTCTGACTGACTTATTTCACGTAGCATAATACCCTCTAGTTCCATCAAAATCATTACAAATGGCAAGATTTCATTCTTTTTGAGATAACTTTGAATGGAAAACACTATCTGCAAAAATATCTAGATCTAAAGGACCTAGTAATTATTTAATAGAATAACTACCTTTTTTTCCCAAAAGTTTGTTTCTATTTTGGTTACCTGAAAAGGAAGTAGAGGGCTCCAATGATAAGAGTTCCTAGAAGAGTCAATGCCACAAAAGCTGCAAACAGGTCACTTTTAGTTTGGATGCTGGAGCTTGGGAGAAAAACTTCTTCACAACGAGCTCCCGTATAATTTTCAATGCATCTACAGAATAAAATTTTAGATAAAGAATTGCATTCTTTGTCTTATTAACTAATATAGAAAGCAAAAGGTTTCCAGCTGGTATGAAGATAAAATACTAATTTTCCAGGTTTTGAACATAGAATAGGCATGGTTTCCTATAATGTTCACAGAGTTACAGTTATAATAAAGGAAATTAGCATATGTAATCTAATCTTTGTAATCTTCCTTTTACAATTTTCTAATTGCTTAGAAACTCCAGAGAAATTCTAGAATATTTGGTCCTTTTATCTTCTGGATTTTCAATGATGTAATTATCCACACTTAAATTTATCTGAAATTTACTTTGTCATATCTGGTATAGATGTGGGTTTAAATGTATTTTTATTCAATATTGCTGGTTATTCTAACACCATTTATTAAATAATTCTCTTTCCTACTGTTTAATAGTGCCTCCTTTAACATATGTCCAATTTGTATAAGTAACATTTCTATTCTTCCATATCTACACATATAATCTTCTACCCCACTGCTTCCATATTGTTGCTTTATAATATATTTTAATATCTGGTAGTTCTCTTTCCTATTACTTTCCTTTTCTAGAATATTTTTTGGTATTTTCATTTGCCAACCAAATATTTTATGGCAATTTTTTTTTAATGTAAGCTCTATAACCAAATGTGCGGCTTGAACTCACAACTCTGAGATCAATAGTCACATGCTCCACTGACTGAGCCAGTCAGGTGCCCCTGCTAACCAAATGTTTTAAAGGCAATTACTTTCAACTCCGTAAAACTATATGGAAAAGGACCATATCTTTGATAAGACAAATCAGTTCCCTTTTCCTAGTTAATATGTTCAAAGAATTATAAAACATAGAGATTGATATGGATTAATGAGAATGACACTGTTTGGGATCAGATCAATTTCATTATTCTGTAGTTTCTGTTAAAATAAAGAATAGTATTTTAATATACACCAATGTTTATTAAACCCAATAAGTTATGGAGTAAACTACACTTAGCAATACTTTAGTATAAAAAAGTATATGTCTGTATGCATGTGTGTGTGTATATATATATATGTATTTTTCTTCTTCATGCTGGTATTACCACAGTTAGAAATGTTGATTTATCTCCTTTTCTCCACTTCAGTGAACTAATTACTAAATAATGTGATAAGCTAAAAAGCAATATACATATAAAGGAGAGAATAAAACACCAAGATACAGCACAAAATATATCAATTTTACTTAAATCTACATATCAAACATGTTTTATGAACCCCAAGCCTTACCCACTGTGAGGTAGTAGTGTTATTGTTATAGGGTATCAGTTTGAGCAAAAAAGCAGTCTCATTCTCTCAAACTACTGTAAAGATGGAGTTGAGACACAGAAAGGAAAGGTTAGGATAGAACATGAGTGGCAAACTGAAATGAAAGTAAAAATATTTTGGGAAAACACAAATTACCTAAATAGAAAATACTTATTTTTCCATAAACTAAGTCAAATAAATAAGTGTGAGAAGAACAAAATTTAATTGAAAATAACTTTTCTCCTACAGCCCCACATTCCACTTCTCAAAAGGGGAATCCACAAAGGGGAATACATACACACACACACACACACACACACACACACCTGGAAAGTCAACATAGAAACTGCCATAAAAACTGATACACATGTCATCACAAAATAACCAAAGGAAAGGGGCATCCCACACAGTAAAAAAACAAAAACAAAAAAACAGTTTCTAAATTTAATTTGCCAAAGTATCTCTAAAATGACCAAAATAGAGAGAAAAACTCCTCTAGCTTTAATTTTTAGAATTAGAATTCAATAAGTAGTAATTATTTCTGACTTCTGAAGGTTTTTAAGGAAAAGATTTGCTGTCATAGTTTTAAAATAACTCAAGTTTTGAAATAATGTTAAAATGGGGCTGTTTCTACTCTAGAAAAGATAACTAGAACCCTAAGGACATAATTCTTCTTCATAATGAGGATTTCTTTTAAAAAACCTATAAACTCATTACTTAAATTTCTTAAAGCTATTCAACTTTAGGTATGATTGAACTTCAAGGAGAAGATGCAAAGTAGCCAATGGACCTAACTATAAATGTTTTACCTGGACAGTAAATACTTTGAGTTGGAAGGAGTCAAGGGAATGGTATAAATATAAACTTAGTAGTCAGATCAGCTTGTAAGCAAACAAAAAAAGGAATATAAAGGAAACCAACACTAGAATGTCATTTTGTTATCTTACAGCAGGGCAAAGCAAATACATACTCTTGTGGGAAAGTAAAAACATGATGCTATCTTTAAATAATGTCAAGGAAAAACAACTCACTTTTTAACTAGTTAAATCAGAATTTAGAGAAAAGCAAAGAGAAATTTAAATATTATGTTAAAGAAGTAGGAATGTTGACTTAAAAATTAATTTAAAATACTTAGATATTTATCATGCAAAAAAGTGAACAGCCCACCAATGATCCAACTTTCTTTTTTAAGATTTTTAAAAAAATTTTTAAGTGATCTCTACACCCGCGTGAGGCTCAAACTCACAACCCCGAGTTGCTCTTCCAACTGAGCCAGCCAGGCACCTCTGGATTCCACTTTTAAAGCTTGAGCTCATTTATGAAAATGTTACAACCTCAGTTATAACATAAATATCAAATTTCAGGCCAACACAGTTAATCAATAACTTTATGGATAAATAGGGAGAATTAAGATCAGACAGGCAACTGGTATTACTAGTTGAAGCAAAATGAAAGGTAAGGTGTTGCACCAGCATTTTACAAGTAACTAAGTAGCCCTCAATCTTTATGCAACTGTCTTGCTAAATTATTTCTAGACCTCACTTCTGCACAGACCACCAAGTAGCAAAGAGTTGTGACACCTGATGAGGTGAACACCAAGCACTAAGGATCATGTACATTCTCCTGGAATTGAAAGATGAATGCTGGAATAGACATAAATGCTCACCTAGGTGAGAAATTCCCAAACTCAGAATACAAGCCATATGTATTGGTTTTCTGGCTGAATACCACCAATAATCTGTCCCTAACCACAGAGGCTATGTTCAGTACACTGGACATGAAATAAATTCATTAGCTTCTACGGCATTTAAGGTAAGTTTTTACACATTTGAGACCTTTACCATGATAAAAGAACCAAGTTTCTAATCATGTAAACAAATACAGTGCATTTAGCTTCAAGAAAGAGTAGGGGCACCGGGTGGCTCAGTCAGTTAAGTGACTGCCTTCGGCTCAGGTCATGATCCCAGGGTCCTGGGATCCAGCCCTGCATCAGGCTCCCTGCTCTGCGGGGAGTCCGCTTCTCCCTCTCCCTCTGCCTGCAGCTCCCCCTGCTTGTGCTCTCTCTCTCTCTGTCAAACAAATAAATAAAATCGGAAGGAAGGAAGGAAGGAAGGAAGGAAGGAAGGAAGGAGGGAAGGAAGGAAGGAAGGAAGGAAGGAAAGAAGGGTATTCAACTGTGAAGTAGAAAAAACTGATTTCTTTTTTTTAATAATTTTTATTGTTATGTTAATCACCATACATTACATCATTAGTTTTTGATGTGTTCCATGATTCATTGTTTTTGCATCACACCCAGTGCTCCACGCAGATTGTGCCCTCTTTAATACCCATCCCCAGGCTAACCCATCCCCCCACCCCCCTCCCCTCTAGAACCCTCAGTTTGTTTTTCGAAAAAACTGATTTCTTGACCCCACACTTGTTCTTGTTGGCTGTCTGACCTTGGGCAAGTCACTTAAACTCTCTAAGACTCTGTAAAATAAAAATAACAACACCTGCTTTAGCTATTTCATAAGGTTATTATCAGAATCAAACAATGTCTAAAAGTGCTCTGAATGGTGAAACACACTATACCAGTGAAACTGAAATTAGTGACTTTATAAAGGCCATGTTTACATCCCATATTGGACTACAGAGAATATGATGCCTAAGAAAAATTATAACCAGAAAAGACTAAGAGCATGGCGACTAATAAATGTTTATGTTTATGTTTATTATTATATTTCTCAGAAACAAGTTTATATTATAGAATAGTTCACTAACCAAATAGAGGCTCAATGTCAACATCACTTTACTTGGAATAATCTATTCTGGAAAGTAGAAGTACAATATTTGCATATGCCAAAATTGACTTACACTTAACCAATCCTCTGTAGTAATCAAAGTTCAATCTGAAACCCATGAAAATGGTAAAAAAAAAAAACAAAAATAAAATAAAACTGAGTGTTCAAGAAACATGAACTGATAACATGAGCTTGGATCTCTTTAGTAGTCTAGGACATGTAAAAATACACAAACATGCCAACATCCTACAAAGCTCCTACAAGATTTTTAGAAGAAAGAACTGTTAAAGGAAGACTGATTCATGACCCTTCCCTCTTTTATTAGCTAGTCCCATAACTGTAACTTCACTAAGCATTTACTAGATTCTTAACACTACCTACAAATACTTAGCTAATATTCAATCCTGCAAAAATTGCATTTTATGTCATATTTATATGATTATTAGCCCGATAAAATACCAATAATTACTATATTTCAAATGTGTAAGTATAATCTAAGTTAAAAGCAAAATCTATTAGATTCTTTCAAGACTGACTTTAACCACATAATTCATATGCTGAAATGGACTACAGATTATATCTGAATATAAATGGATAAAACATTGCACAAAGAATAATTCACATTTTTTATTTTGTAGAGTATTATTGTAGTTTTATTGTGAAAAGCTATTTTTTTAGCTTAAGTAAACCATTGAAAATTTGAAACATTATATTCACTGAAACAAGCTAAAGCACAATGAATAAAGGAAGCGTGTGAACAAATAGTGAGATTATAAACTACAGCTGGAAAGACTGATGCTCTTAAATCACCGGACACTCAACTAAACCACAGTTTTAAATGGATAGTATTCATGCTGGGATCTTACCTTCCCAGGCTTCAGGTCTCAACAACCTTCTAATGCAGGGAAAAATCTCATGCCCCAACTTGGA